CTGCATCGGTATTTGGATTCTTCCTACCACAATGGGTTTGATCTCCTTAAAGAAAACGGGATATCCGTGCCTCAACCTGATCTATTTGTATCTTATTTTCTTTGCATTATTTATCATTAAAATATAATTTTTCTAGTATTTTCACCAACACTTAATATGCAGGAAACCATATCAGGAAGAACCCTACACATGCTTTCTAATGTTGAAATGTCACTAGAGCTTCTGGACAAACTAGTTTCATCTTGCTCCAACTCAAAGCACTTCTAAATCAAATTGCAAAAAATTTGATTTCAATATACTAGAGGAAAAGAAAATGAAAAATACTGAATTAATTTACAACATCAGTGTAACAAAGTAATCCTCGAATATAGTGCAACTATTCAAGAACCAGAACCAGAACCAGAACCAGTCAAAAAAGGGAAAGAGGCACAGAAAAATACCACTGCCTTGCGCCTCCTGGAGAGCTTGGTCCAAGATTGATCTACTTCCCAACAATATTACACTTGTTCAATGCACAACGAGCAGCTTCTGCAGCTCTAACATCATAGAACTCTATGAACTTGAGATGAAACTTGTGGGGAGTTTCATGGATCTACCAACCATAAAGAAAAAACATGAAATTTCGAATGTTTCAACAACATATATCAGTTAGGAATGTAGAATTCAGCATACATACTTCCTAGATCTCTCCATAAATGTCAAAGATTTGGTGAAGATCATTATTTGAAACAAAATAATTGAGGTTAGATACAACACTAGTGCCTTGGTTAATATCTTTCTCCAAAGGATTATCCTAAAAAATTAACAAGCCATAGATTACCAAGTCAAAAGATTTCATCGAGCACAAACAGAAGTAGCCAGCAACAAATGAAAACCAACAACAAATGGTAGCATAAAGAAAATATTAGAACGATAGCAACAAAAAAAAGAAATATGTTACAGACACCAAAACTGGATGAACAATGCACCTTTGGAATTGAATAATGAATGTCAAGTTTCTGGCATCCCAATAGTTTATTCTAGAAAGCTCTCATTACATTCCTAGCGGCCCTTATATCAAAATAAGAAATCATGACAAACCCTCGATGCTTACAAACTGTGTAGAGAGTTCGGATATCACTATATTGCTGACAGAACAACCAATTATCAACTGAGTTTGCATTCATAATTAAAGTGACTAGCTTGCATATACTCTTGATCAAGACAATCCATGACATGACGAACTAAAACATACCTCAAAAAGAACCCTTAACTCAGAATCTTCAATGTTGCTATTGATATTTCTTACAAAAAGAGTTCTAGAAGGTGTGGACGCCATGCCTTTTTCGATTCTAAGGCATTGCTTCCGACACCAACTTGCTTTGACATAAAGAATCGCCACTTAATTTTTAAAGAGGAATCAAGAAACCTTTAACAATGAAAACTAAGTTAAGACCCAGTTCGTCATGATCAGAAAAATTCTAAGTTCGGGAGCTTAGGTATAAAATGGGAAGGCCATTTTCATGAAAGCACCCCTTTTTGTCCAATCCGAAGATTGGCCTCTACTCACTTTCTATTTTATGATTTTAGTGGTTAATTATTTCACACAAGTTCATTATTAGACCCTAAAACCGTTAACTAACCTAACAACTATGTGATTTGAATAAAACAAGCATCATTTATGTTAGATTAAATGGATAAAGCCATATGTTTCATAAAAGCGATTTTTCATTGAAAACGGATTTTTATTAATCCATGGCTTTAAACATAAACTAAAATAAGCAATACTTATGAAAATCAAACAAAACACACAATCTTGCATAGAAAGAGTATTTAACTTGCATAAGTGAAAAACAATGCAAAAAGCACACATATGCCAAGAGGATAGAGAGGACACATTTATTTTATGCATGCATACCCGGATGCCCGCTTACATGTCTTACATGCATGCATAAAATAAATATGTCTTAATCATGCAACTAACATATTGAAACATGAACCTATGCTTGGTTTGAGGCTACTAATGATGTTTATGCACAAAATACAACTAATAAGTAAAAAAGCATAAATATGAACTAAACTACATGATGATCCATACAGGGCCTAACACATGATTTCTACATGATTAAATGAACCAAAACATGTTGTTCTAATGAAGATAAAGAGCACATGCAAGAGGAGGCAAGAAGGTGGATAAATATGCCTAAACTACATGATGTTAAGATGGATTAATGCCCTAGCATGGATAACACTGAAAATAAACAAAGAATAGGAACTGAAATTGACAAAAAGATGGGGGTTTACCTGCTGATTTATGTAATCCAAAGAGCACACACAAAAGAGAGCAAGAAAAGCTGAGTTTCTTACTTGCAAGCTTCCCTCAAACTTTATTCCAAGTTAGGGTTCAAGAGTTTCAGTCCTTAGGTGTCTTTAGAGGCTTAAAGTTGCTATGAGGGTGAGAAAATTTCATGGCTAAGGCAAAGGAGGGAGGAGGGAGAAGAGAGGAGTTTTTGCTTTCAAAAGCTTATAAAAGGTTCAAAATCCTTAAACCCTTGAAAGGGAGGGGGAGGGGTCTCTTTTATAGGCAAGGAGGAAGGTTCTAGAACCCTTCTAGGGTTTCATCGTTTGCCCCTCCGCCGTTCCTACTAAAAATGTACCAAGATTGAGTTCTCATACCTGGCTCTGTGACACTACAATGTGTGCACGCAATCACAATGATTATGCATACGTACAAATAATGTGCGTATCCACATCTAACGTATGCACGCACACTTTGTCTTGGTCCACATGTCATGCATGCATGTACAAGTATGGGGTCCCATGCCCTTAGCTTGCTTGCAGCACAAGAAGCTCGAATTGCATTCTGATCAATATTTTTAATAAAACCGGCCATTAAGAATGTGTACTAGCAAAATCTTAAAATCAGTCAAAATAGAGTATCTACGGAAGGGTGTTCACCATTAAGGATGTGTACTAGCAATAGAGCCATCAGAACTGCGAGCGGATCCTCTAGAGTAACTCTCTAGAGTGATCTCCTAGAGTGGATGATCCGACGGCTCAGAATCGTCCTCACCAAAACGACGTCGTTTTGGTGAGGACTTCCAAAAAAAAAAAAAAAAAAAAAAAACATTTTTTGCCGATTTCAAAATTCCCCACAGGCTGAAGAATATGATTCCAGCGGGAAGAAGCAGACCTGCGAAAGGAGAGAGGGAAGAAAAGTTACAGACCAGGTCGCCCCCGCCGTGCATCCCATCGGAATATCATTCCAGCGGGAAGAAGCAAACCTCCTTTTATCTCTCTGTTTTTGTCTCTCAATTTTCTTTCCAGTTTCTCGGAAAATTATAGAAAACAGAGAGATTTTCATGGAAATTCGATGAGATTTAGTAACTAAAATGTTGAACTCGCTCTTCTGTTAGAAGATCTGGAGCTCGCGATTGAGGTTTGTAAATTGTTGTCTAACTTCGATTTTCTATCTTTTTGTGTAGAGATTTTCAATGCTTGCTTCCACACACACACACACCTGCCCTTTTTGGTATTTTGTTATGATATAAATCAATCTATGCAGTCACGATTCTTTTGTTATCAAATCTATTTATTCATTTGTCTCAATACACTTCAACAGTATAGTTTTATATCTCGAGAATTTTGTTTCTCAAAATGTCCAAGAAATGATGCAGTTGAGAGTATATTGGGACAAAAAAATACTGAGACTTGGGAACATGGGATTTGAAGTGGATTTGGCTTTGATTTCTCTACTTCTTCGTGAAGATTTGTTTGTTTCATTTCCATATTACAGAGAAAAGGCTTGTTCGGAGCTCTGTAATCGGGACAAATTCCTATTTTTTTACCATCTTTTGATTATCAATCCTCGTAATTAACTCAATTTTTGTTGGACAGGTACATTTCCAGGAGATGTTGAAGCAGTTTTTAGATGACATCTGAACTAGGAGATCAGTTTCTGGGTTTGCGAGATCGGAATCGGATATGAATCCCGGCGATTCAAGCTTTGAAATGTTCTCGATTTCTTAGAAATCAACTTATCAATTTCATTATTCATAATCTCAAGACCCAAAAAATCGAAGCTTCCTCTGAATTCACTTTTTAAATCTGCTATCAATTTCGCAATATTCCTTTAATTCATTCACGCTGTTGTGAAGACAAACCCAAGTATAAAAAGGTATTTGAAAAAATCAGAATAAAATCAAGTTCAATTTTGCAATTTAGCTGATGATTTGATGTTCTCTGCTATTGCAGTTTCACAGAATTTGGAATCACTTTCAGAGAATTTGGAATCAGTTATTTTTTTTCAAGCAAGTTGCATCTTGTTGTTCTGTTTCAGGTATAGCTGTTTCAAAATTTGATTTTCATTTTGTAAGAAGATCTGGAGCTCGCGATTGAGGTTTGTAAATTGTTGTCTGACTTCGATTTTCTATCTTTTTTGTGTAGAGATTTTCAATGCTTGCTTCCACACACACACACCTGCCCTTTTTGGTATTTTGTTATGATATAAATCAATCTATGCAGTCACGATTCTTTTGTTATCAAATCTATTTATTCATTTGTCTCAATACACTTCAACAGTATAGTTTTATATCTCGAGAATTTTGTTTCTCAAAATGTCCAAGAAATGATGCAGTTGAGAGTATATTGGGACAAAAAAATACTGAGACTTGGGAACATGGGATTTGAAGTGGATTTGGCTTTGATTTCTCTACTTCTTCGTGAAGATTTGTTTGTTTCATTTCCATATTACAGAGAAAAGGCTTGTTCAGAGCTCTGTAATCGGGACAAATTCCTATTTTTTTATTATTATAGTATTTTCTATTTAAGGCCCAAGGAAATACAAATTAAACTAAGCATATGATCAGTCTTTTTAGTTTTGTTGCACTTATTTTTCCTTGTTTGTTTATATATATTCAGGTCGTACGTTTGTTATTCGTTAATTATATTATTTGGTTTTTATACAATTTTTATGCTAATATTGAGCACTTTTTTATTTTTAAGTGACTTGGCACATTGATATGGAACCTAACAATCATGAGAATAACGGGGGTGAGTGTGATTGGAAGCCTAGAGTTCGCATGACATTTGATACAGAACAAGAAGCATATGATTTCTATAATACTTATGGAGGAAGGTTGGGCTTTAGTATTAGAAGGGGTTATGTAAACAAGAGCAAAGAGGGGCATTCAAGTCAATTTGTTTGTAATAAGGAAGGATTTCGGGTTGTCGACAAGCGAGATTCATTAACAAAAAATCCTAGGCAGGAAGTGAGGACTGGTTGTCAAGCCCGACTTGTCATTAAGTGGGATAGGAATATTCAGAAATTTTTTGTTAGTGATTTTGTTGAACAACATAATCATATCTTCGTACCACCAGAATGTACGCATATGTTACCATCCCAAAGGAAGATATCTGCATCACAGGCAACCGAAATAGATTTAGCCGAAAAATCTGGAATCCGTCTTAATGCTGCATTTGAGCTCATGGGTAATGAAGTTGGTGGAAGGGAGTCGCTTGGGTTTACAAAACTTGACCAAAAAAATTATTTGAGAACGAAGAGGCAAAACAGTTTAGCATATGGGGAGGCAGGTAGCATTTTGCAATATTTTCGTGACAAATCATTGGAGAATCCATCTTTTTTTTACTCGGTCCAATTAGATAACGAAGAGCAGATTACAAACATATTTTGGGCCGATGCTCAGATGATCATGGATTATGGACAATTTGGTAATATTGTGACTTTTGACACTACTTACAAGTTAAATAGTGCACATAGACCATTTGCGTCTTTTGTTGGATTTAACCATCATAGGTTTCGATTTCAAAATTCCCCCCAGGCTGAAGAATGCGAATACAGATGGCGGGAAGAAGCAAAACGACGAAAGAACGAGAGATCGAAGAAGAGTAGAGAGGCTGCTACTTCGTGCATCCCGTCGCCCCACCGTGGCAGTCGCCCCGCTGTCGTCGCCGTCGTGCCGTTGCCACTGTCCTGCCGCCACCGTGGCCGTCGCCCCTGTTCCAACCGATTGAAGAAAATATAGGTATTTAGAATGTTTAAATATATGTTTTAAGTTCGATTTTGTTGTTTTTGGCTATGGATCCTAAATAATCTATTAAATTTTATACGAAACCTCTCATATGAGTGTGAGACCCACACACATGTGAATTTGTGTGGGTCACACACCCATGTAAAAAGTTTGATAAAAAAGTTGATAAATTATTTTGGGTCCATAACATTTTCCATTGTCAAAAATAGGGTTTGGATGGTGGAAATGTCTTTCCAACATGAGAATTACTGAAGTAAACCAGAACTGTTTCTGACTAATGTGAATGGCCCTGGCTTTCCTCCAGTCTCAGATCGGATTGAGGGTATTGTTAGGCCTGTGGAGGCTTACCACAGGTCCCGTTTTGATAATTTGACCATTGAATGTATAAAACTTATCGAGTACTATATGTTTGTAAAAAATTACGTTGATCGGATAACGATAGCTACATGATTAAATCACTTTTGTATAAAAAATTTGACGGTAAAAAATAAACGGTTGACAGAAATCTGATCCGATGGAATATCTATCAATATCCGATCAACGTAATTTTTACAAGTGTATAATACTCGATGAGTTCTACACATTGAATAATTTGAATTATCGAAACAGAATCTGTAATCAAGGCAAAACACAAGTGTTTGGTGCAAAACCAGACACAACACGGTCGAGTCGAGAGATCCTGAGGCAAGGCGCGCAACCGAGACCTCTGGGAACTCAAGACGAACACAAACAAGGGTAATCACCAAGTGTTCCAATGGTGACGTCCAAGTCTTGAGGACGGTCAAAAATGGGGTGTCTACAATGTTAAGCACAAAATTCAATATGCCTTTTTCAAATACTATTGAACAAGAAAGCCCTCCCAACACATGCTTCGAAAGCTTTGACGTGGATGGTGTAGCAGATACAAATGTAGTTCAAGCAAAAGGACTCAAGAGAAGAGAGTGCACTAGCAAGGGAAGAAGGTGGACAAAAGGCGGTTTGGAGCTTGCTTTGGCAAAGAAAAATAAAACAAGTTCACATAATGCTTCTCAAACTTCCATGTCTGTTACTCCTCAAACTCCTCCCTTATTTTCGGCAAGTGCTCCTGAAGCACCTCCCTTAATTCCTCAGTCGGCTCCTTTATTTTCAAGTGTTCCTCAACTTCCTCCATTCTCGCCGAGTGTTCCTCAAGTTAGAGCTTCTCCGTCTCAATTTATGTATCCCGCCTATGATGTAAGTTAGTTTAATAAAAAGTTTTAATATGGATTTGTAGCTGACTATTATCATTTTAGATTGATATGTGTTTGTTATTGTTGCAGCCAAATTTTCTTCATCACAATATGCATTTTGCAATGCCATCGATGTATTCCGTCCATGGAACCTATCAAGCATTGCTTAACAATGCAAGTAGTTATCACTCGCAAGCTTTAAATAGTCCCGCATGTAGTGAAGTAATTTTTTTTTCACCTTTCCTCTTTTATTTTGTCATTCATTCATGTAAAGTTCCATTTTATTTTATGGTTCCTTTGATGTAATGTTATTTTTTTTTTGTAGGTACTATATGGTCGTGGTCGTGGTCGTGGGCGTGGCCGTGGGCATGGGGATGTGGATCACACGCCAACATCTTAGCCAATCCGCCTGTTTTGGAAATTTTTGTGAATTTTTTTGTTGGATATGTAATATTCAAACTTGTCATCAAACTGTTCCTAAAAATTTTCTGTTCAAATTACTCAGTAAATGTTGCTGAAACTTCCCTTGAAATGTTGAAATTTTGATTAATTTCTAGTTATAAAATTCATTGTGCTCGTGCAGTCTAGTGATGCTCATGATGCACTAGTATCCTTTTTTGCTAATGAGCCAGAGCATAAATTTCAAGTTATAAATTTCTTTTTGTAATTATTTTCTTTACTTCTTGTATTAATTCTGTTAAAAATGGTATGCAGGTTGATGACATGAACACCACTTCCCATTGGATTTTCCCAAGTTCAAATCCCAACACTTGGCATGGTTCTACACGTAATGCCAGATTTGAAATGGTAAAGTATTGTATTTATTAGTTTTTTGCAAAATTAGCTTAGTTTGATTTCTAGTTTTCCATAAACAAGTCTCAACATTGCTAGATTCTAATGTAACCAGCTGCATCACTATCATTCAATCTGATAGCAATTTTCTTTAGAGCTCAGATATGATTGCATGACATCACACGTGTCAATGTAATTAATAGAGTTATGTAATTGTGTTGAGCTATTGTTTCCACTGTGGTAGTAGCGATAGATTCAGCATCAGAGCGACGCCGAGGAGGATGGAGACTGGGTTCTTCAGCAAGATCCCTCCTGAACTCTTTCATCACATCCTCAAATTCCTCTCTTCTGAGGTACGAGTCTGTATGTATATTATTGGGCCAATTTTTATTTTTTTTTTCTGTATATTAGGGCAAAAATATTGTTTTTTTCCCCCCAGAGATTTGGGGGTTTTATGATCTGAGTTATTCTGCATGATGGCAATGTATGCAGGATCTTGTTTCATGCGCTCTGGTTTGTAGATTTCTCAATTTCTTTGTTAAATGATACCTCCAACTACCTTGTTGACAAACTTGGCTTATTTCAATCATTTGTGGTAAATGTCCAGCTTTTTGTGATGTCTCTCTAAAGTTTGAACTAGAGCCTAGACTAGCGAATACATAAAGGATGCATGTTGCAAATTGATCCCAGATAGTCTCTAGTTCATTTTTGGCTGTTGAGCACAGTTATTGTTCATTTGATTGCTGCTTTACTTCATTCAAGTAATGAAAATATGTGTGACTAATCTGGCATGTGATATTCTAGGATTCCCTTGGAGGAAACAGAAAAACAGTTATGATAGGTACACTTATCATATATTTTGTGTTTATGTTTTAGTTAGTAATGAACTTAAATTACCTAAGATATCTTATACTTTTGCTTTCTAATGCCCCAGTGTCCTTTTTCTTTTTCCCTGTTTACAAATGTAGCTTGTGTAAGTCCAGCAGACACAAATGCAGAGGAGACCGTAAACACGTTGAAGTATGCAAATCGTGCTCGCAACATTCAAAACAAAGCGATTGTTAGCTTTCTTATCTAACACTATTTTACTATTTTTGTGTGCTATGCTTTTAGCTATGTCTAATTTTGTTTCTGTTTTTAGATCAACCGTGACCCAATGGCAGCTCAAATGCAAAGAATGCGAAGTCAAATTGAACAATTGCAGGCTGAGCTTCTTTTCTTTCGTGGAGACACGGGTGCATCATTTGAGGAACTTGAGGTATAGCACAGAATTTTCACTTTTTCAGAATGTGCTCCTTGGTTTGTGGGCTTTGAATGTAAATTTGGTGAAGACTTACGTGTCAAAAATTCAAGAAGTAGAAGGACAACTGTTGCGCTTGCAAAATTTAAATAGTTCAAAAGAATCAAAACATAGTGTATTTGTTGTCGATTGTCTTGAGTTGGATGATAATGGCTTCACTCAAAAAATTCATATTCCACAAGTATTCACGAGCTTTCATCTGGATCTGATATAAATGATATCAACAGATATATTTCCTCGTTTAATTTATTTGATTTGTTGGTTAATTGAGTTCCTTTTGTTTGCTTTTGGTCTTATATGTTGGTATCTAAGTAGCTTGCCACAAGTATGTAACTGTTCAAGGGCAAACTGTTCATTTAATGGTTCTCCTCCCCCCCCCACCAAACTGTTAATTTCTATTGATGAATGGCTGTGCAGATCACTCCGCCACCCATCTCAAAAACTGATTTTGATAAGGTCCTTGCCCGACAGAGGCCAACTGTGAGCAAAGGTGACCTTGACGTGCATGAGAGATTCACAAGAGAGTTTGGAGAGGAAGGCTGATGAAATATTGACTCAATGTTATCCATTTGTGGAATTGCTGCCATTTGTATTTTATAAATATATAAATATATGTCGCAGCTGGATTTGGGGATGTATTTATTAATCTATTTTAAAGCTTCTTCCATTTCTAAAGGTGATACAACAGCTTAGGCTTTTCTTCTGTATTGAGGTGTTATTACTTTTTAAATTTGTTAATTGATGTAAAAAACAGATTCTGTAGTATTGCTTCACTAAAAAGCCTAGCCTTGCTATTTGCCAACTTGTGAGCCTCTTTTACCGGCATAGTTATGCTTGTGAAAACTCTTAGGTAGTGTTTGGGATTTTCATTTTGATAATGCATTTTTTTTAATAATTTTTTTTTTTACTGAATCAAATGTTAGAGTAGACATCTTTGATAGAATGAACCAATCATTCCAATGAAATAAACATAGTATCCAAATTTAGTGAAAATACCATTCAATGGTAAATTACAAAAACAATCAGTTTGGTTAAAAAAAAAAAAACTCTTGGATAAATTACGGAGGTGGTTCTTGTGGTTCGTTGCGGCAATTTCGTCTCTTCATTTTCAATTGCATCAATTTTGTCCTAGAACTTTGGTTGTAGGTTACGTGGTCCAAATGCTAATTGTCGTTGCATTTGTTGATGGAAAAGCGGCTTGGGCATTGCACATGCTATACTTGCAAGGGCAAAAATATTAATCAACCTGTTCATAATCAACCTGTTCGGCAGCATACATTTCAACCTGTTCATAATCAACCTGTTTGGTAGCACACCTTGTTATTCAACCTGTTCATTGAACATGTTATTCAATTCAACATGTTCAACTCAAACAAATCTGTTATACACTCAATAGATTTCACAAACCAATAATTCAACAGATTTCATCTCAAACATTCAACCTGTTATACATTTCCACCTGTTTGGCAGCATACATTTCAACTTTAGCATACATTTGGCAGCATACATTTCAACCTGTTTTTGGAAAAGTATCTTTGTATTGTTTGAAAAGTCAAAAACAAGGTCTGCCAAGTAGAGTGATCTCTATTTGGCAGCATACATCTCAAACAGATTTCATCTCAAACAAACCTGTTATACACTTGTTTTTGCAAACCATAAGATTTTTAAGCACCAAAAAAATATTACAAAACAAGAACAAAAGTACATTACATTCATAGCATGTTCGAAAACCTAAAATACAAAAGTACATTGTTCTTGAATACACAAAATACACAAAGTAGCTTACATTGAGTCATTTACAAGATAAAGTACAAAAATACACAAAATACAATGACATAAGTCATTGCCTTGAACATCTTCTCCATCCTTTCAAGCCTTCTATCATGCTCACCAAGCGTTGTCCTCAGATCATTAATTTCTTCTGTTGTTGAATCTGTCCGAGGTCCAGCATTGGTTGAAGTTGATGCGGTAATGTCGTCGTCGTCGTCGTCGTCTGTGAACCACCTGAAGTAATTGCAGTGGTCGTTCGTAGCCTACAATGGACAAGAATCAGTTAATCAATAAAGGACAAATGAAATTTGTAAAAATCAATAAAGGACAAATGAAATTTCGTCGTCGTCGTCGTCGTCGTCGTCGTCGTCGTCGTCGTCGTCGTCGTCGTCGTCGTCGTCGTCGTCGTCGTCGTCGTCGTCGTCGTCGTCGTCGTCGTCGTCGTCGTCGTCGTCGTCGTCGTCGTCGTCGTCGTCGTCGTCGTCGTCGTCGTCGTCGTCGTCGTCGTCGTCGTCGTCGTCGTCGTCGTCGTCGTCTGCGAACCACCTGAAGTAATTGCAGTGGTTGTTCGTAGACTACAATGGACAAGAATTAGTTAATCAATAAAGGACAAACGAAATTTGTAAAAAGTAACAAATTCATTTATAAAACAGGTACTTACATATTTTCTTGGGCAAACAAAATAGACACGTCATTTATTTCCATTTGCATTGGTTCGTACAATACGCACGGAAGCTATTCTTCCACAATTACAAAACCTTGGCTTTAATGTCAAGTTCGTATTATTAGTAGAAGATGAGTCATTTGTTTATCTGCATAAAAAATACCAACAGATTTATCTTTAATTTTATTTTATGTTTGGGTGTGGAACAATACTTAGGATATTGGGTTTGTAGAGGGAGGGAAAAAGGAAAAGAAAATTGAAAAAAGAAAAAAGAATAAAAAGCTTCTTCAATTATTTATACATAAAGCAATAAGTATTTACAAGAACTTGTAAGAGCAACTATATTAGTACTTGTTGAAAATGTGCATTACTGTTTTGCAGCAAATATGTAGTGTAACAGATATTGATGTGAAGCATATACTTCCGACAAATCAAGTAATTATAGTGTTGAAAAACACATACTGATTAAGAGTGTCCAACTTCAGTTGCTGGTGCATTCAAGCCAAGTTGAAATGAAAAGAGAACTACTAATTCGCAAGCCCAAGTCAACAAGACAGTTCACAGAACTAATAATGTTAGATATTATCAAAGAAGATTATATTAAGGTGGAACTTCCCACTACCAACTTTAAAGCAACCCTATGAATTGAATGACAAGTAAACTATGAATTAAAAAGCTCGAGTATACATGACATATTCAAAACACAATCACACAACTCTGCAACATCCCAACCAACCAGAACAGTTGAAGTGACATCTAACCTTTACCATGTGACATAAGCTAAAACCCTATTTCAGTCCTAATGTGGATCGTGTATCACAGATCAGCAAGGGAGTTCTTCCAAGTCACTAGTTACATCACTGCTCAGGTGTGGTGAAAAATAAACAAGGGTTCCCACACTTTAAAAAGAGAATTAATATTATTTGTTTACAAGAAACTAAATGGGTAAGAAAAAATCTAACGAATTTGAAAGCACATGATATAAAATTTGGTATGTTGAAAAAGAAAAACATATGAATGGAGTAGGGATAATTGTAGACAAAAAAGTAGCAAGTGGTAGAGGTTAATAAAACAAAAGGAGATACAATAATATTTGTGAAATTAGTGTTAGGTGAAGAAACACCAAATATAATTAGTGCTCATTGACTCTAAACAAACTTAATTACATATATCATTCTCTTACATTCCTCTGTCTTCCAAACTCAGAATGCCTATTTTATGATCAACCAGAGAAATACTATATTTAAATTACACACAAATTAAATTATACAAATAGAGGGTCATTTTAAATTACATACAGATGCTCATGTTTGGAATTTAAATACTACAGCTTTGTGTCATTAATTTAAATTACACACAAATTAAATGCCCATTTCAGGCCCATTACACACAGATGCATATATATATATAAATATATTCATAAATTTCTTTGATGATTCCAATCATCTACAGTTCGGTTCCTCTAAGCATAGATCTGAAATAAATCATGTAAAAAGGTCTCAAAGCCCTAAATTTGATTTTTTCCCTAATTTTTTGAATCAAATTTCTTTGATGATTCCAATCATCTACAGTTCGGTTCCTCTAAGCATAGATCTAAAATAAATCATGTAAAAAGGTCTCAAATCAAAACCATAAGATCATATTTTTTGATTTTTCCCCTAATTTTTTGAATCAAAGCCCTAAATTTTTTGAAGTTTAGAGGATGAAACGAACCTGTGGTTTTTTCTTTCAATCTGTTGAGTATGGTGACCCAGCGGTGTGGCGAGCAGCAGCGGCGACGGTGGCGAGTGGCAGCGGCGACGGTGCCCTTCTCTCTCTCTGATTCGAATGACGTGAATTTGCATTCAACAGGAACCCTCGTTCGTTGTTTTGAAATCGGGAAATTTTTTTTTTTTATGATCGGACGGTTCAGAATCGTCCGAACCAAAACGACGTCGTTTTGGTTCGGACGATTCTGAACCGTCCGATCATCCACTCTAGAGGATCACTCTAGAGAGTTACTCTAGAGGATCCGGACGCGGTGTAACGTATGGTGTAACAGTGGTGCTTCTGATGTAAGTCTATTGCTTCTTTGTTTGCAAAGCGTTTTGGTGAGGACGATTCTGAACCGTCCGATCATCCACTCTAGAGGATCACTCTAGAGAGTTACTCTAGAGGATCCGGACGCATCAGAACTCCCCTGACCATTGGGAACTACGCCTGCAATATTGGAATCATTTTTGCCTGCACATGACACATCATCTACTTCCAGTTCCATGCCTCCAACACTGCTAAATAGGTCAAAATCTTCAGTATCATCACCTCTCTTGGCATCAGCAATACATTCCAATCCATCAATCACTCCGGAAAAGAGATCATCTTCATCAGGAAAAATATTTTTAATGGTTTGTGCCTCATTTTCTTTCATTGACCCAAGAGGTTCTTCTTCGCAGCAAGAGGCTACAGTATCAGCAGATTTGTGAAGTAAAACATTGTTCTTTGTTAAGCCTACTGCACAATGAGAACCAAATTTTCAAATAA